CATTCTATGGGTGTACTCCAGGCTTATCAGGCAGATGTGCTCAAGGAGCTGGACGAGGGAGAAGGCCTGACTCCAGAGGCCGTTAAAGAGCTCAGACGAGCTACTGACTTGGCGCTTAAGACTACCACGCACACAGCTCGGGCAGTGGGCAAGTCCATGGCAGGGTTAGTGTCAGCTGAGCGCCATCTTTGGCTTACGCTCACTGACATTAAGGAGAAGGACAGGACCTTTCTCCTGGATGCCCCCATTTCGAGTGACGGTCTGTTCGGAGACTCGGTCACTACGGTCGTGGAGAAGTATAGAGCAGTGAAACAGCAGTCCGCTGTGTTCCGTCAGCTCATCCCTCGCAGGGCTAGGGAGGTAGAGCGTCAGCCGCCTGCGGCTCGTTCACGCTCTTCTTCTTTACAGCACTGCGAGGTCCAGCAGTATGAGCCATCGCCTAGGTTACCCCCTCGTAAGGACTGGGGTCCTAGGTCTCGCCCACCGGCTTACCCACGACAACGCAATCGGTTAGACCTGAGTTTGACGGCCAAGCCCTCTCGTCCTCAGGCCCCTAATAGCAGTTCCTGATTCATCTGCTCGTCTTCGGAGGCCAGGCCATCCTTTAGAGAGAGTGTACGAACCGCACAAGCGTATTCGACTATCTCGCTGTGGCCTCCCGACTCCGATCTTGACGGTCCCGCCGCATATTGCGCCTCGGGCAGTTTTAGATAGAGTCTTTACGACGAGCACCTCCTCGGATACTCTGCGCGTTCCAGCCTTCAGAGTTAGAGAAAAAGCCCAAGGGTCATGCGAGCATGGCCCGTTTATGACGGCCTCCAAAACTCCCATTTTTGGGGCAGTGGGCAGGCCCGACAGAACAATCGGACATCTTCCCATTATAGTTTTTCCCGCCACTCAGGTGCTTCGGGATCCGAAACGGGAAAATCAGGTGGACGTTTCAACCGTAGAACACCCAAGACCCCTGGCAGACTACTGGGCCGCGTGGAGAGGCCTGCCCGATATTTCACGGTGGGTACTACGGTCTGTTCGGAGACTCGGTCACTACGGTCGTGGAGAAGTTTAGAGCAGTGAAACAGCAGTCCGCTGTGTTCCGTCAGCTCATCCCTCGCAGGGCTAGGGAGGTAGAGCGTCAGCCGCCTGCGGCTCATTCACGCTCTTCTTCTTTACAGCACTGCGAGGTCCAGCAGTATGAGCCATCGCCTAGGTTACCCCCTCGTAAGGACTGGGGTCCTAGGTCTCGCCCACCGGCTTACCCACGACAACGCAATCGGTTAGACCTGAGTTTGACGGCCAAGCCCTCTCGTCCTCAGGCCCCTAATAGCAGTTCCTGATTCATCTGCTCGTCTTCGGAGGCCAGGCCATCCTTTAGAGAGAGTGTACGAACCGCACAAGCGTATTCGACTATCTCGCTGTGGCCTCCCGACTCCGATCTTGACGGTCCCGCCGCATATTGCGCCTCGGGCAGTTTTAGATAGAGTCTTTACGACGAGCACCTCCTCGGATACTCTGCGCGTTCCAGCCTTCAGAGTTAGAGAAAAAGCCCAAGGGTCATGCGAGCATGGCCCGTTTATGACGGCCTCCAAAACTCCCATTTTTGGGGCAGTGGGCAGGCCCGACAGAACAATCGGACATCTTCCCATTATAGTTTTTCCCGCCACTCAGGTGCTTCGGGATCCGAAACGGGAAAATCAGGTGGACGTTTCAACCGTAGAACACCCAAGACCCCTGGCAGACTACTGGGCCGCGTGGAGAGGCCTGCCCGATATTTCACGGTGGGTACTACGCACCATTCGACACGGGTACACTATCCAGTTTCAGAAAGGGCCACCTCCTTTCAGCAGGGTTCTTCCTACGACGGTATGTCCTGGGGACGCCTCGATTTTAGGTCAGGAGATCGTATCACTCCTAGAGAAAGGAGCTATAGAAGAGATACTCCCCACTCAGATGGAGTCAGGCTTCTACAGCCAGTATTTTGTTGTGCCCAAGAAAGATGGTGGTTTACGTCCGATTTTGGACTTATGTCGTCTAAATTTTGTGCTCAGAGTGAGCAAGTTCAAGATGTTAACCGTAAAGTCCATTCTGTCTCAGGTTCAATCCGGAGATTGGTTTGTGACCATCGATCTAAAGGATGCATACTTTCACATCCAGATCATCAAGAGGCACAGGAAGTTCCTCAGGTTTGCTTTCGAGTGCAAAGCATACCAATACTGTGTTCTTCCATTCGAACTAGCTTTGGCTCCTCAAACGTTCACAAAAGCGAGATCGAGATCTGAGGAGCATCGAGATCTGGTACTTGATCATCTGAGGAGCGTAGGGCTACGGACGAACCTTCAAAAGAGTGTCCTGCTGCCGTGTTGGCAAACAACCTTTTTGGGGGTGGACTTGGACTCTCGCGCGATGTGGGCACGGCTGTCTCTCGCTCGTGTGCAGTCAATACGGACCTGTCTAGGTCATTTCAAGACTGGGCGCTGAGTACATGTAGGCCTGTGTCTCAGGCTGTTGGGTCTGATGGTGGCAGCGTCCCCTGTAGTTCAGTTGGGCCTGCTTCACATGCGACCATTTCAATGGTGGACCAAGAGCCAGAACATTTCACATCACTGTCACCCGCTTCACAGAATTACGGTGACACGCAAAGGCTCTCGTTCTCTAAGCCCCTGGATGAGACCCCAGTTCCTTCTGGAAGGAGTCCAGATGGGGACGTTGTGTTGCCGCAAAACGGTCACGACGTACGCGTCCCTTACAGGCTGGGGAGCGGTCCATCAAGGACGTCCAGTCGGTGGAGTCTGGACAGAGGTACAGAAGTGGACTTGTTCGCTTCGAGCATGACTACGCACTGCCCGATTTGATTTTCCCTGTCTCCCCCGTCGCCTCTAGGTCTGGATGCTCTGGCCCACGAATGGCCCACGACCAATCTTTATGCTTTTCCTCCAATCCGGTTGCTCCCAGCAGTCCTATTCAGAATACGATCAGAAAGAGTGGAGCACCTGTTGCTGGTGGCCCCGCGGTGGTCCACTCAGTCGTTGTTCTCGGACCTGGTCAGTCTGCTAGCCGGCCCTCCATGGGAGGTTCCCCTCAGACACGATCTGTTGACACAAGCTCGGGGCATGATTTGGCATCCTCGACCGGAATTATGGAGGTTATGGGCGTGGCCCTTGAGCGGAGTACGCTAATGTGTTCTGGTCTCTCGGCTGAGATTACCAACACTATTATGAATTCTAGGGCTCTCTCCACGAGACGCTTATATGCTTTCAAGTGGAGACTTTTTGCCTCTTGGTGTGGACAACGCACTTTGGATCCAGTCCACTGCCCTATAGGTTCAGTACTGGAGTTTCTTCAGAGTCGTTTCTCTGAGGGGGTTACCCCCGCCACTCTTAAGGTGTATGGGGCAGCCATATCAGAGGGGCATGCACTCGTAGGGGGTGTTTCGGGTTGGTCATCACCCCCTAGTCTCATGCTTTATGCAGGGTTCGAGACGGCTTAGGCCTTTCCGCCCAGCCCGAGTTCCTTCTTGGTATTTATCGATTGTGTTGGAGGGCCTAACAGGCCATCCCTTTGAACCGATGGAGTCTGTGTCAGAGAAGCTCTTGACCCTTGGACTTTGCACCAGGACTGGTAAAAGTCTTTTTGCGACCTAGGCCTGATTATGTTCTGAAGGTCGCTTCAACTCCGTTTCGCTTTCAGCAAGTGGTCCTGAAGGCTTTTTCCCCAGCCGAGGAAGGGTCAGTTACCCTGAATCTCTGTCCGGTTAGGGCACTTAGGATCTACGTTGACTGCACGGCTCAGTGGCGTAGATCTGATCAGTTGTTTGTGTGTTTTGGTGGTAAGAGCAGAGGTTCTGCTGTCACTAAACAGCGGATGTCACACTGGATAGTGGAGGCTATTTCTTTGGCCTATGAGGCGCGTGGCTTGACTTCGCCTCTAGGGGTGCGTGCTCATTCTACAAGAGCAGTGGCTTCTTCTCAGGTCTTCTTTAAAGGGTCTTTGATGGAAGATGTTTGTGCTGCGGCAGGATGGTCCTCTCCTAGCACATTCATCAAGTTTTATAGTTTGGACGTAAGGATGGCTCCTGACTCCCGGGTCTTATCCGCTTGAGCAGATGCTTTCCTTGGTCTTCTAGCTATCTAAGGTACGTCAGGCGTTATGGTAAAGCGTTCCCAAAGCGATGACGTCATCGCAGCATCGAAGTGAGCCTATGAGAGGGAACATCTCGGTTACGTATGTAACCTTGGTTCCCTGAGTAGGGGAACGAGATGCTGCGATGTCTCCCTTACTGTAGCCTACATACAGCACATAAATATTCTTAGAAAAAAACTTACTGTAATTTACTAAAAGTGTTTTTTAATTTTTCCGAAAGTTGTAGTAGCCTACTTTCCAAGATACAAGGCTTACTTAGGTGAGATTTTGCCAATATCTCACTTATGTACAATACACAAATATTTTTTTAGAAATAAAATAACTACAGTAATTCACCAAAATATTTTTTTAATCAAAAGATTTTGCCAATACCTCCCTTCATATATGTACAGTATACAATTATAAAAAACTCCCCAAAAGGGATTTTTCATGTTCCAAATGTTGTAATATAAAATGCTTGTGTAGCCTACTGTACACCCAATAAAGGAGGTATTGGAAAAATTTCACCTGTAGTCTTGTAACTAGGAGTGTACTACAACATTTGGAACATGAACAAACTTTTGGGCACTTACAGTACTTTTTTCTAAGGATATTTGTGTAAGGTACTGTATGTACAGTAAGGGAGGTAGGCTATTGGAAAACTCTCACCTGTAGTAGCCTAAGTCAGTCTGGAGGAACATACTACAACATTTACAACATGAAAAAAACACTTTTGGTGAATTACTGTAATTTTTCTGAACATATTTGTGCACTGTACATACAGTAAAGGAGGTATTGAAATTTCACCTGCAGTACAATAGTCCGTTCACTAGGAACGTACTACAACCTTTGGAACATGAAAAAATTTCTCTAAAAAAGTGGGAACCTGTCAATTAGATTTAGTTACTACAGTCATAAATGTTCTAGCTTGCGGTTGGTGTCTGCTTATTTGATACTAACTTCATGACCATTAATCCACTGATGTCGTCTGTTCAGGTTGGAGGAGGTTTGTTTCAGTCAGATGCTGTGAAAGGCCAGAGACATTCTCTTCCTCATACATCCCACTCCAGGCTTAACCCTGAGAGCAGTAGTTCCTGCTTATTCCAGCAGAAACCCAAAGCGTCAGTTAACACAGGGGAGCGATTCATCCACCATCCTGATCAGAAAAAAGATAGACTGGAGAATAGAGACCACAAAACCTCTCATTGTAGCAACATGTCCTTACAGAAGGTACAGATTAAGCTCTACATTTTTGTTCAATAATTTTATGATGTGCCACCTTTTTTCAAGTGACTGCATGTTAAACAGGTTTTCATCTATTTTCATTGATTGTGTTACAGGAATTAAGCACCCCTCACCACAAGACTAGTCCAGGTATGGATTATTACCCTTTGTTTTATTACTGATCTCGCCCAGTATTTTTATTTTATTACTTATGAAACTAAGCTGTTTCTCTTTGTGTCAAATACTACTTTTTGCCAACAGAGGGCAGGATGTCCCTATCTGCAAAGAGAAAAAGGGAGGGTAGTACAGACAATGAGAAGGAACTTAAACGGCCGTGTGTTGATTTCCAACCCACCTCGAGCTCTTCCATTATAAACTCGCCTTTAAAGTTCGTCAAGCGTGCTTTTGTGAAGTCCAGCAATGAGTCTGTGATAACTATAAAGGAGAAAGAGTCCCCTAAACCGCTTCCTGCCGCACCAAACAGCAACAACAAACCAAGACCTCCGCCTTCCATCGCCAGGCAGCTCTTTGAACCATGTAAGGACTCAAATACAGGGAGTGACAAACCTCATTCATTTCAACTCGGTAAATCACCCACGACTGCAGAGCCTAAAGATGCTATGGTGGCACGAGCCAACAAAAATCCCAAAGCTCCACCCAGCCAACCGCATTTGCACAACGTCTCTCCGAAGTCGAGCACAACGTTCGACAGCATCGAGACCCTCTTTACTTCAGACTGCTTACCATCACCAAAAACTCATAACAAAAAAACAAATGCTGAGAGAGAAGCTTGTACAGTCTCCACACACACAAGCCCCACTTCTGACCATAAGGAGAGTGTTAAAATTCACTTGTCCCCTCATCATCCTGATCTAAGATCACCCAGCTTTGCAGAACAAGCCAGTTCATGCAAGATGGAAACGGATGAAAGAACGCAGTTGAAAGTGGAGCAGTCACGCAGCCCCAAGGCTATCATGCCTGCCCCAGCTGTTTCGGTGAAAGAAGAATCAAGAGAACAGAAGTGCTGCCCCCAGTGGAAAGATCCCTTAGATATTGAGTTGGGAGATGACTCTGGTGATGAGCTGAGAGAACACTGCAATATCAGCCTCAGCAGCAGCAGCAGTGGTCATGAAGATGATCCGCTGCCATCTCTGGAGAAGCTGATGAGTCGGAGAGACCATGTGCCGGTTACTCCCGAAAAAGATGCTTTCTCAGAACCCAACACACCCATCTCAAAAGCAGCAGTAAGTTTAAGGATGTTCATAAAACATGTCATGACCTCATGTGTCATTAATCACTCTTTGGCATGCCTGATTTTCACAAACTCCTATGTTTCTTTTCTTTTTTGTTGTTCATCTGTATTAGCCCGAGGCAGTGAAAACCAAAGCCGTTAGTTATAGAAATACACTGGAGCAGATGCTGCAAGAGAAGGAACAATATCAGAGGTTGGTCTAAAATGAAATGAATGAAATCTGAGAGATTTCTGTCCCTCATTTGAAAGTCCACACCAAAATGTGATGCTCGTAGAGATCGTGAAAGTAATTCATGTGAATCAAGCAATTGATTCTAAGTCTTCTGAAGAGTCAAGATGGCTTTATATTATAACCAGGTTTAATTCATACATTTAAATCTGAATATAAATACTGTATATAATAGGGCTGGGCGAATATAGCTAAAAAAAATTTCAACGATATAATGTTTCATATCGTTCGGTATCGATAATTATTGACATTTTTTTATAACCTTTTTTTTAAAACAAAGCAATAGAATTTTTTTTTTAATATAACCACTGTATTTATAATTAACATAATTTATTGAGACAAACAACAAATATATATTTTTTAACAATCAAACACAATAAAAAATTAAACAAATATCTAATGTTTTATATGCAGATTAAATAGGTCTTTATTGTATAGGTCTAATTGTCTCCCGAGGGCGCAATGAGCAAAATAATGCAGCGCATTTAGCAAGTAACTCTATAAAAACGTGCGTTACGTCTAAATTAACTCATAAAAGTCAAATATAATTTTGTAAATTGCATAAACAATTATGAACAAAGCAGCATCATGTATTTATGCATTGCTTAATCCAAAGAGCCGAAGAGCCATTCACACAGACTGCATTTAAAAACATATGAGACGCAGTGAAAAGGAATAAACCTCCACAAATTGGTGACATGTTTTCTAAAAGTTTAAACCGTTTTAACTTTGCAAGGCTTTCTATACATCTCTTCTGTGAGACGCGAGTGCAGCAGTCGTACTTGTCAGTCTAAAAAAATGCGCTGAATATGCGTTGTGTGAATGGCTTGGTTTCGGTTTTAACCCATTCTTCTCCACATTGAGCTTCTATATTTTTCTAACATTTTGAATGCATAACACCGCAGCGGCGCGTCTCGTGGGCTAGACTAACAAAACATTAAACTGAAACAACGTCACTTGCATCACCGCATCTAACATTCAAATGCAAATGTTTATTTTAAATTCGACTAATATTCTTTATTCACAATCTCCTCATCACAGGCAGGCACAGCACTCATTTCAGCATGTGTTTGTGTGTGCTGTCTGCATCACTCATAGCACGTGCCTATATCGTGCGCTATATCGAACATTTTTTATATCGTTATCGAAGAAGGTGTACCGTCGATGAATATTGATACCGTTTTATCGCCCAGGCCTAATAAACACTGATAAACACACATACATAAAGTAAATCAAATATGTGACCCTGGACCTGGACCACAAAACCAGTCTTAAGTCGCTGGGGTATATTTGTAGCAATAGCCACAAATACATGGTATGGGTCAAAATTATAAAATTTTTATTTTGTGCCAAAAATCATTAGGATATTACGTAAAGATCATGTTCCATGAAAATATTTTGTAAATTTCCTACCGTAAATATATCAAAACATAATTTTTGATTAGTAATATGCATTGCTAAGAACTTCATTTGGACTACTTTAAAGGCGATAAAAATTCCAGATATTTAAATAGTTGTATCTTGGCCAAATATTGTCCTATTCTAACAAACCATACATCAATGAAAAGCTTATTATTCAGCTTTCAGATGATGTATAATTCTCAATTTCGAGAAATTGACCCTTATGACTGGTTTTGTGGTCCAGGGTCACATATGGTAAACATAAGGTCAACCATACTTGCTTGATGCGTGAGAACAAACCTCATTTGTTCCTGCACGTCAAGCAAGCACGTTTGAGCATCCGTTTACTATATTTGATCTTCATTTGTGTTTTGAACATGTAACAACATGAGTCAGTGATCTATTCCTTTGAATCAGCCTTTACATTGCTTACATTTAGGATTGTGCACTTTTTGAAAGTATTGGCTCTATGGACTACAGACATGAACGAGAACTCAAATTATGTGACTTATTGAGGGGAAGTCTGCTGTTACTTTAATTTTAAGTTTGATACCTTGTTTGCTTCAGAAAATGTGAAAGTGTAGTCTTGATTCACCCTTGGTGTATTAATGCCAGGCATTCTGGCTGACAGTAACACTTTGGGTGTGTAAAATTGACAGGTTGTTGTTTATTCCGACTGTCAGTTTCACAGACCTGTGATTATGCTATGGCAGAATTTGTTGAGACAGAGCCTGCAGTCTCACCCTGAGAAATGTCTAATAATGACTGGACACACTTCATTTTTCATTTGACTACACAGGTCAAAAGAGTTGGAGAGACAGTTACTTGAGTCATGTGAAGAGGATCTGCTGAATTTATATGAGGATGAGAACAGTGAAAGTAAAGAGGAAGACATCTCACTTGAGCAAAGGTATTTTGTCCATACTGTAAATAGCGGGTTTCATTCACATCATTAGTTTTTTAAAAATACAATCACCAATTCAAACTACATTGAAGCCTTTTGATGTTTTAAAGTAGATTAAGGCAGTCAGTTTAAATAAAATTGTTTGGAGTTTGAATATATGTGCATGAATGTAGTTTGATTATATATGCTACTTTGTATTATGTAGAATATTGTCAGCCTCTTGAAAATGTATCATTAATCTGAAAACATTTTTGTTTAATTTTTAGAGAATTTTTGCAAAGGTTCTCGGTCGCCTCATGTGCCATCAGGGACATCCACCCAGGAGAGGAAGTATTCTTACCTGCTAGGTTTGGTCGACTCTTCAACCACCTAACGCTGGACCTGAGGAAGATTAGTGTGACTCCGCATAACAAATCACAACAAATCCTCCTTCAGTAAGACTGACAGCTCTCATTTTCAGTTTTCTCTAGCTTTCAGTTTTTTCTTATGATAAAAGGTGTTTAAATATTATGTCAAGTGTCTAAATGTGCTAATTTTTGAAATGTGCAAAATTAACAAATTGATTTAATCCTTCCATTTTAGTAATAGATAATACCTGTCTGTTGACACCTTAAACCCAATATCAAATGTAGTATCACAGTGAGTTCACTTCTCAAAGAATTGAGTAATATAGGAGATGCATCAATGATTAGTTAATTTGCAAGGCTTGGTGTTTTTTGTTATTAATATTCTTTATTGCGCTTTGCAATATGAGCTTTTTGTTTTCTTCCTCTATAGGGCCCGTACTGAGCATGTGCTGTCTCTGATCAGTGCTGGCTTGTTGAGGAAAGCCTACTTTTCTTTCCCTTGTCAGCCTGAGGTTACATGCTGGCTTTTCCAGGTAAAACCACTCTCTTTCCTCATATTTTCTGTCCTACAAAAAACACTGTGTGCTTAGTCAGTAACGCATGGATGTACTATACAGTGGGCCAAAAAATATGGACAATTAATCTACACTTAAAAATATATGAATTTTACATGGTTCTATATTTTATTATCTAATGCAATGCTCTTTTTGGGACCGCTGTATGTTTAGTCTCATGTTGTGATCTGTTGATCAGTTTTTATGAGTTGTATTAGGTAATGTACTGTATGTGTTTATAGCATTCCTTTTGTATTGTTATATGGTTGTATTGAAGTTTTAGGTTCGCTGTTCCTATGATATTTATTTGACTCGTTGCATTTTATTCACGCCGTCTTATATTCTCTCATGGGAAACCTGTATACCATTGGGACATTTACGTTTAAACCTATCTAAACATTACAGCGGGGGTTCTTTCCTAAAAGCTTATGCTTTTAGTATCCCAACATGCATACAACTTTGCAGACTCAACTCATATGTTCCAATAGCCAAAATTATTCAATATAATTTTAATAATTACAACCTGCACTTTAACACAGTGCACAATTAACTGCCTGAAATTTAAGTACAGCTAATAACTCTAATGCTTTTTCAGATGATGTCAGTTCACCCAAACCCCATTATTTCCTCACACATCATGCAGTCCTTGCAGACCATTGCTCTGTCTGCTGCTCATCACATAGGTATGTTTGAACGACCTCATAATGGCCAAATATGCTGTTCCCGTACAACTGATAAAGCACTAAAATTGACTGTTGTGTTATAGTTGAACACCAGAGCCAAAGTTTTAAAGTGTGGGTACCCTCTGTACGGGACATCACCCTGGTTTTCCTGAACATGGGGGCGTCATTTATCAGTCTGTTCCCTTTGGAGGCTCTGCAACCCCCTTTTACTGAGGGAGACCTTTTGTGAGTTTTTTACCTTTCAGTCTGCAGCATTATACTTCTGTACTAGTCATATGTCTTTGTCTTTCAGCATATGTCTTTCAGCTTCATAAAAATGCTCTGTTGGTATTTTAATGCATATGTATGTGTTGGCAGAGAGAGCTTTCAGCTGGAAGAAACCAGCCAAGACCGAGTGCTATCTGACATGAAAGACAATGCTACTTTACCAGTACATAATTTGGAGAGTGTTCTCAATGTAAGCTGAATATTTTAAGAATGATTTTGTCATGTATTGAGTAGTAGGTGATTTTTAATTTGTTTAACGATAATTTTGCTTTAAATGCAACCGTAAGTGTCAATCTAATTTGTGCCTGTATTTTTTTTTTTTATATTTTTGTTCAGTACCTCTCCCTGTGTACTGCATTGTGTCCAAGAGCGTACACTGATGAGGAGCTGATGTTGCTTCTGGCGGTGGTGTGTAGAATTGGACTGGAGACTCATTTTCAGCTGCTACCAACTGGACACTTTAGCCTCCTGCTCCAGAATCTGCTCAAAAACATCACACACTGGGATGTACAGGTCAGAAAGAGTGTGTTTAATATTCATATTGCCCAAAAATGAACATTCTGTCATCATTTACTTGCTCTCATGCCATTCCAAACAATTATCAGTATCAGTGTTTTTATACAATGAAAAATAAGTGCATTAGCATTGTTCATTTAATCTTGAATAAGATCATTGTCATTAATTTTCAGATTTTTGACAATATTCAGTGCTATATATGTCTATTTTCTATGGAATGGCTTAATTTTTTTTTCTTTAAATAAGAGGAACCATAATTTCAACAAAACAGTCATTGTTGCTAATTAGATTTTAAATGTTTAAATTTTAATTATATAAAAAAAATTTATAATATCAAGGTTGTTTTTCACTACATGGACTCAAGGGATAAATATGTATAATAATAGCTTTTGTTTATAAAATGCACTAAAATTATTAAGTAAGGTAGGGTCATTATGGCAAAATAAACTCAACGAGACTTGTCAGGTCTTGTATTTGTCACGGTTGCACTACTGTGAGGAGTGCGGAGCGAGGAACGAAGGAGACGAGGAGTACATCAATCAAGAGATTTTAATAAATATAAGAGAACCAGGAAAACACATGTAGCACTCATACGAACAATACCGGACAAAGAACTCAAAACAGGAAACACTTTAAGTACACAACTTAATCAGGGGAAGACAAGACACACCTGGAATCAAATGAGAAACAATCAGGGAGCAGGAACAGGAAGATAACCAAATAAGGGCAAGGAAGGCACATGGGTAGCAAAACACACACAAAACAAGGAACAGAGTCTGACATAACTACCCCCCCCCATCCCGGAAAGTGCGTCCCGCGCTGTACAACATATAACTGGGAGGGGGGGTGGGTGCTCTGGAGGCCTCTAGGAGCAGGGTACCAGGATGGAAGGCCTCCAGGGCGGTGGCCGTTCTGGGGCCCATGGCGGATCTGACAGTTCGGGGCGCCATGGTGGCGCCCCCCAGCCCCCGCCCCGGCTTCTACGGCTGAAGCCCTACTACCCCTCCCCCCCAAAAAAATACTTGGGGACAATTATGGGCTCCGAGGCCCTCCGTGGGCCAGACATAGAAACATGAGCTCTCCATGGGCTAAACTCGGAAACGGGAGCCCTCACTGGGCTAAACTCGGGAACGGGAGCCCTCACTGGGCTAAACTCGGGAACGGGGAGCCCTCACTGGGCTAAACTCGGGAACGGGGAGCCCTCCGTGGGCTAAACTCGGGAACGGGAGCCCTCCGTGGGCTAAACTCAGGAACGGGAGCCCTCACTGGGTTAAATTCAGGGACTGGGAAGCGCTTACGAGGAGCTGGCACTGGAGCCGACACTGGAGCGAAGAGTCGGGTGCGCTCTCGGGTGAGGAAGAGGGCCCTGAGCCAGTCATTTCTCCTCTTCCTCCTCTTCTGATTACGGGTGAACTGGGCGCCGGGCGGGCATGTCGTTGCAGTGGGCTTGGGTCAACAGCGGCCGGCGGGCTTGACTTCGTAGCGGCCGGCTTGACTGACTCGGGAACGGCCGGCGGGAAAACAAAACACTTTCAAAACCAAAAAACAAACACGGGGGAAAAGGGGCGCCGCTTACTGTCTCTGGTCCGGTATGGCAAGCAAGGCACATGGGGTGCAAAACAAGGAACAAAGTCTGACAGTGTCATCCTGAAGGGGCTTATTTTGCGATAATGACTGTCCATTTACAATTCTGAATTATGACAAAAACAAATCTTTGAATCAAACTGACCAATTCCTAATGTTGTTTTTGCTGCTTTAAATCCCAAGTGCACAACAAAAGCTTTCTGTGACAGGTCTAATTTATTCCCTCCATATTGTATGAATAAAGTAAGGCACATCTGACTGTCTTTGTTTTGTCAGTATTGTTTTATATCACAATTGTATTACTTAATTATACTAATTTGAGCCCTTTTTCACTTCCAGAATGATCTGCGGAGTCTTTCTTCTCAGCTGGAGAAGCATATTAAGTGTGACATAAGGGAGAGCGAGAAAATGCTGTATAGGAGCAAGGTGAAGAGCAGCTTCATTCTGTTCTCTGAGAATCACTCAGATCCAGATTTTTATTAGCAGTGTGTTTCTTTTCTTCTGTAGGTGAAAGACTTTGTAGCAAGGATATACACCAAGTGGCAGGTGCTTCTCACACGAACGAGGCCTCAGGAGGTAATGTGAACAAATACAGCCAATTGAAGAATACAAGAATACTGTCAACTGTTGCTGATAAAAGCTGTTGTTACTTTTGGCTGGCTGTGAAGGCCACGTTTTGTTTACAAGTGTTTTCAGAATTTAAGCAGCATGAGTCCTTTACATTCATAACCTATGTATCTGCAGCTAAAAGGAAAGCATTGTGACTGAAAGCGCATGGGTAGAGTCAGCATGAAGAATTAGTGGAATTTTTTGAATATCAAACAATTTGTTGTGTCATAGATGTCTTTTTTATAACAGTAATGCATTGCAAAAAAAGTTAATTGACCTATTGGTTTTCCCAAACCTGATGAGTATATTTTTATATAACACAAAAGTAAATTTTTGAAGGATTTCCTGGTCATTCTTTAAGCAAAAAAAAAAGCTTGCAAAAGCACCATAAAAGTATCATAGAAGTGGTCCATATGACTTTTGTGCTATTTTTCTGAGTCTCATGACGTGTTCAATGAATCAGTTGATCAGAAAACGTTCTGAGCGATTTCTTCATTGCATCTTGTTGATTTATTTGCTTCTTCACTCATGAACATAAACTCTAGAGCTAATGTCAAGATATTCAGTGAAATTTAATTGTACAACATCAAAAGATGTGCCGCAAAAACGCAAATGCAGTGGTGAAGTGCCTTGTGTGTGATACTTGCTCAAAAAACGCTAAAAAAGCTTTTTAACAAGTTAAAAGTTCAAGTTCAGTTTAAAAAAAAAACTTGTCCCTCGATCTTGCCCTTTTCTTTCCACTACCTTGCATCTCCCTTTTTAAATGCAAAAATGCATTCTGTGTGAATGCCTCCTTGAAATATAGTTTTCATATGTACTATTTTTTACCATACTGTAAATTGCATGGAAATGTCGTTCTACCAAATTTCTCCTTTTGTGTTCCATTAAAGGGTCACACTTTAGTTTAGGGACTAATTCAGACTATTAACTAGTTTCTTACTAGCATGCATATTACTAGCAGATTGGCTGTTTATTAGTACTTATAGAATGCATATTAATGCCTTAATCTGCATGACCATATTTTAGATCCCTTTTAGACCTTACTATTAATAAGTAGCAAATTAGGAGTTTGAGGCAAAAGCCATAGTTAATAGAGAGAATTGGTCCCCAAAGTGTGACCCATGAAAGTAAGTCATATGGGTTTGAAACATGAGGGTGAGTAAGTGATGACAGGATTTTCATTATTGGGTGAACTATGCTTCAGTAGGCCTCTTGTGTAATTCACAGGGAAAGCTGTATGATTACTGGAAGCCCCCACCAGAGGATGAGGTGTCCAGCAGTCCTCAGGGCCAGTCCTGCATCAAATCACAAGACACTTCAGAGAGTGCAGAAGAAACTCTGACCACAGAGTGGAGCAGTACAGAATCAGATGTAGATGCTGAGAGCAAAGAGGAAGAAGAGAACTTGCCGAAAGAGTGTGAGGAACCCCAACCTCTGGAGAATGAAGTGAAGATCGAACGAGATGAAGAAGATAGCGTGGAAGACATCAGTAATGAAGAGGAGGAAAATGATGAGCCAAAGCAACAGCTGATAGAGCTAGAGGATGATAGAAAGTTTGAACCAATATCTGATGAAGAGCTGTTTGAAACTCATGAAGACTTGGAGTGTGAGAAACCTCAACTTCTGGAGAGAGAGGTGAATATCGAACGAGATGATGAAGATTGTATGGAGGACATCAGTGATGAAGAGGAGGAAAATGATGAGCCAAAGCAACAGCTGATGGAGCTAGAGGACGATAGAAAGTTTGAACCAATATCTGATGAAGAGCTGTTTGAAACTCATGAAGACTTGGAGTGTGAGGATGATGATGATCTCATGAACAGAGAGGAGGAGCTTCTAAAAGATGAAGAGCCTCATGAAGAAAATAGAAAGCACATACCTGTAAAAGAAAACACTGAGGTGTTAGAGGAGCTTGAGGACTTGTTAAAGAGCTGAGATGAAAAAGGAAACGAGGGATGGATTTTGAGAAGTCTGAGAAAAAATAGAAACATTCTCAGGTCATTTCGAAAGATTTTTACACCGCACCTTTATTGCCATCCATGCATATACATTATGTGGGGTTTTGTGCATTCATTAATGTTCATAGAGTCTTTCAGTAACACACGTCATTCCTGTAGTTGTTTACAAATGGTTTATAATATATATTCTGTGTATGTGTTCTGCATTTACCAGTTGTTCTTAATTTGTTTTTATTCTTCTTTTTTAAGATATAAGATGTCTTATTGAATGTTTGGCCTCCATTTCTCTGAAAATGAGACCATGAACATATTTTTATGAATATACATTTCATTAGGGATAACTTGTAATATCTATGTGGTTAATGTGCACACTGGTAGTTTTCAGGTTCAACTCTTTATGCTGCTGTCAAATCTATTTTATTTTTATTTTTATTTTTTTACTTACCCCAAAAATCTGGAGCATCTTCATCCAGAAAATATCACTATAACAGCAAAAGCAAGGGCTTAAATAATAGGCAACATTTCTCTGTAGGTTCCAAGGATGTTTAAGCGTCTTAGTAGGCTTGAGTACAGAGTGAATATAGTGTATTTGTATTATTTTGGTGTTAGCAATCCAGTCTTCTTCAAAAAAGGCTAACTTTAGAGTGATGTTTGTCATAAGAATTAATTAAAAACTGATTTCTGTATTTCTTAAAAAGTGAGAAAATCCTTTGGTTATTTTTATGAAAATAAATACTCGGTCTGATAAACAGGTATGTGTGTTTCCACTCACACTCCAGACTAGCCTGGTCTTGCAAGTGTTTATATATAGTTACATCTTGCACTATTCCAAATGGTGCTGGTAATTCAGCAATATGTATGATTTTGAAAACTAAGGCATGCCACTTGCATGCATATTCACTGAAGTGTATTCCTATTCTGATCTCTATTCTGAAATCCGCATATTTAACAATGAGCAAATTGCATGTTTTAACAGTGCAGTTCGTTTATAATAATAATTGTGTAAGTGGGCTTTTCCAGTCGATAGCGAAGGAATGCGGTGGCCCAAATATTTCCCAGGAGCCCAGATGGTTTCCCCTATAATGCAGTCCGTCAGCAGCGTGTTTGCAGCTCGAGCGCATTGTTTGAGATGGAGAAGTGGCGCAGGAGGGCGTACAGTACCTGCGACGAGGATCTCGCGCACACACAGCACAGCGAACATCACAGCTGAGTTCATTCCGCATCTCCGCTCTGTCTCGCGTTGCTTGGCTTTACACTAACTACTAGACGACTTTCCTGCGTTTTTGCACGATTTGTGACGAAAGGCATTTCAGTAAGTAGACCACTTTGATACTGCACACGTTTTCTCATTCTTTTTGTGATATTTGTTTTCAGTGCACGTCTAAATAGTGAGCATCGCACGAAAGATAGTGAAGTTCTTTCTGGCAGTTCAGTATGAACAAGTCTCACATAATGTTGAGTGAAGACAACAAAAAGCTGAAATGATAATTAAAATTAAATTATAATTTTGCACAGACGAAACCTCAACGTATATGGCAAGCCACTTTAACATTTATTCCTTAAAAATAACTTTGTTACTAGTATTTTAGAAATATTGCAAAGTAAGCAAGTAGTATTTTGTGTAGTACTAGTATCTATAAAATTTCACTAGCGTATATTAATTAGTATCTGATACAAGTAACTTATTTTTTTATATACTTTTTGGGGGTAAATATTCGAATATTTACTTGTCTGTTCTAGTATTCGTAGTACTAATTGAAAAATATTTATTAGACACTAGTGTGTGTTCCAGTTGTTACTAGAAATGTTTTATTTTTGCTAATAAGATTGTTGAGCAACCACTAAATAGTGCGATAAAAACAAACACACACGTACATACTAATAAAGTTTTAATAAATTTACTAGTAACTTTTGGGATAGATTAGAGTAACTATGAAATAAGTAATGGTACATAATAAATAGTTACTAGTAAAACTAAAATAGGTGCCAGCAACAATTGGAATAGTCAATGTCTGAACCACAGATTTGCAATCTGTTACCAGTAAAAATGCAATAGATACTTGTACTATTGGGATAGTAACTAGCGGTAGTTCAGTATTTTAAGTACTAGCAAATAGTTAGAAGTAACTAAAGAATACAAGTGAAACTAAAGAAGGCATCAGCAAAACCTGCAAAACATACTAGTAACATAAAAATAGGTGCTAGTTCATTTTTAGGAAATACATTTTAGAATGGTTTGCCATACAAAGTATAATCTTTCTTCTGTCAAAGACCAGTTCACTAGAAGTTAACCATTAAACTGTGTGAAAGGCCATATGACTGATAGGTATTTTAGGCTATTGATTCGTGATGAGAAAGACTGTGGACACGTCTGCATTTAATCAGATTAATGCGCAGAGTATTAGTCAGCTGACAATGAGAATTTGCAGGGCAAATTTTTTCCTGGCACAAACACATTTAACTGTCCAAGTAAGATGGCATCTGGAAGAAAGTCTTTGGGTGACACACCAGTTACAGAATGTACCCGGTAGAAATAATGTAAATGTGCTCAAAGTGACTGACAGCTGGTTAAAGATGCATGAAGGGTCTCATGCAGTCACTGTTCAGCTGAGCTGCTTGCAGAAACAGAGCTATCGTTTTCTCTCTGCAGCTGCTCAATTCTTGTCACTTGATTCAGTCCATCTTACAGCCTGATACCATGAATCCTGTTGTACAACTACAGCTCAATGATTTATTTTTAAGTCGCAGCTGATCTTCCATTGTCTGGAATTGGCTTTAGCCCATACGGCTCTGAAAGCAGAGTAAGGAATATCAGTATGTGTTTGACTGATCTCTTTAGGGGCTCTCTGATGTGACCACTGTGCTGATCTGGAGCTGTCGCTGTGGGCGCCAATTGATATGCTTTCATTTGCTTTCTTATGGTTTTAGCGCTATGAGATTTTCCACTGGGAAGATTTGGCCTCTCATGTGTCTGACCTATTCTTTCTTTCTTTCTAGTTCTCATTCTCTCTAGGACATCTGAATTGGCTAAATAATAATACTGCTGATGGTTGTGTAGTTATAATCCTATAATGGATTTCTTACATAAACCTCCTACCCCTTAAACTGGATTCTAGTTTTGCACCAATCTATTACTCAGTCCGTGCTGTTCTATGAGCAGTTCAGTTAAGTTATTTGATTCCTGAAACTTTCAGTGATATTTAATACCATATACTGTCATATCTGCTAATGCTTTGTTGACATAAAATTCCTCCAGGGGCTGCACAGACCTTTCAAAGCATATTTTAGTGATGAAAAATCACTCTCCTATTAAAACCAATAAGGATTTTTTTGTCTGTGATTAAATTTGTCAAAATTATTTAAGCAACATTGTAAGTGCAAAAAGGAATTATCATATATAGTCTAAAAGTTCTAAAAGTGCTGAAAGCACATTCAAAATCAGAATTAATCTTAGAAATAAACAATGTTTTAGCATTTTGAAATATTTGAAACAATTTCATTATGTAGAATTAAGAAATATGTAAGATTTGCTCTATTTTTAGGTCACTAATCAAATGTAAGAAAACGTGTGATACTGACCGTGCTAACAGTGACGTTGTAATGAATTTATATATTACAGTATGCAAACTGTTTAATGTATTATTTTTATAATATAATATACACTATATACACTACAATTGAAAAGTTTAGGGTCAGTAGAAAAAATTTATACTTTTATTAAACAAGGATACATTAAATAGATCAAAAGTGACAGTAAAAATATAGTGTTATAAAACATTTCTATTTAAAATAGATTCTGTTCTATTTATAAAAAAAAGGGTGAAAAAAAGAAAAGAAAAATGCATCACGGTTTTCACAAAAAATTAAGCAGCACAACTGTTTTCAACATTGATGATAATAAGAAATGTTTCTTGAAATGCAAATCAGCATATTAGAATGATTTCTGAAGGATCATGTGACACTGAAGACTGGAGTAATGACTGCTGAAAATTCAGCTTTGCATCACAGGAATAAATTACATTTTAAAATGTATTCACATAGAAAATTGTAATCTTAAATTGTAATAATATGTCACAGTATTTACTGTATTTTTGATCAAATAAATGCAGCTTTGGTAAGCAAGCATAAGTGACTTCTTTCAAAAACAAACCAATAAATAAATAATATCAACGCATATTTTACGTTTCATACATTTCAACTTTGCTCATTGATGTTGTTTCTGTTGTTGGAAAGAACAGTATGAGGGCTGTTGATTCGATAAACCTCTCTGGCACAGTACTGCTGATTCCTGCACTTCAACAGGTGTGAATTCAAGCACATCTGTGCAGTTATGTTTGAGATAGTTTGTTTTGTGTGTTTCATTTATACCGAGAGAAAAGGAGTGAAAAAGTTTTGAATGAACAATACGGTGGCCTAGAAAGCCACTGGGAATGTGTTCTCTGAAGAGGAGATAGAGGGAAAAGAAAACAGTGCTCATCTGGTGCGTAAGCCTGTTTAATGGAATGAGGGAGAGAGAGCGTGTGTTTATCTGAGAGAGGGGGAGAAGTCTGGAGTGTTTACAGAAGAGAGGGACTGAGTGTGTTGGAGTAATGGACGGAGGGAGGCGAATGGTTGGATGCTCAGGCCACAGTCTTCCTAAATCACATCACATCAAACTCACACACACACACACACACACACAAGCACAATGACTCCTTTTTAAGTAAAAACCATTCTCTTACAGGTCAGTCATGACAAAACAACACAACAATAGTAAGGGTAGTGTCAATATGGAGACAAATTTGACCTAACTAGGTCTATAAAGAAGTGAATAGTAGTTTTGATAGATATATTTAAAATCATGTATGCTCACATTAGATGAAAACTTCAGTCATATCAGTGACCTTCAAAAAGCTGTTTTATTCTGCATAAGGTGGGTCACCCTTTCATAGTAGCTGTCAGGTTTAATAATACTTCAATTAATACTTTAATAATAAATGAATCATGGGTGAAAAAACCCCTGCTTATAACCAGGCCCAGATGAAATCTGTGGACTTCCTTCTGTGATTTTCTCAAAAAACAAACAAACCAAAACTTTTTGACAGTATCCTACAGGGCTTTATCTTTTTCAAGCACCAATTGTTTTTGTATTGAGTATGACAGTATTTTTATTTATACATTACGTTTCAAGTGTTTGGGGTCGGTAAGACTTTTAAAGATACTCTCTTAGATGCTCGCTAAGGCTGCATTTATTTGATCAAAAATGCAGTAAAACAGTAATATTATGAAATATTATTACTATTAAAAAAAAACTTTTTTTGTTTATTTTAATATATTTTAAAATGTAATTTATTTCTGTGATGGCAAAGCTGAATTTTCATCAGCTAATTCTCCAGTCTTCAGTGTCACATGATCCTTCAGAAATCATTCTAATATGCTGTTCTAAAATGAGACAATTTAAGAAAATAGTTGTGCTGCTAGTTTTTTTGAAAGTGGTGATACATTTTTTCAAGGATTCTTTGATGTATAGCAAGTCCTAAAGAAAAGGATTTACTTGACGTATTAATCTTTTGGAACATTATAAATGTCTTTGCTGTCACTTTTGATCAATGTAATACATACTTGCTGAACAAAAGTATAATTTCTTTAAAAAAAAACACAAACCTTTGAACTGTAACAAAACTAATTTCCACTAGTACATATTTTTTCTGCTCCCTGTTTCTCCAGATGCACTCAGTTTATTGCAGTATTCTCATGAACTCCAAACTTGAACATAAAACTCTAGAGCATTTCCAGACTAATCCGACCTGCTTTTGATGCAAGATGAGAGAAGTCAGAGATGAGCTCTGGCTGAGTTTGTGATATTTGGGTGTAGTCCTGGCTCTTCTGGATTAGGACTCACATTATTCAGTTGTCATACATTAATCACCAGCTTATTATTCAATGCAGTCACCTCGGACACAGCTCAGGATTAAAGGCCTGAAAGGTCGGTGTCACTGGATGCACAGTTGCATCCTTTGATCTTCACTTTGACGTACCACTGGGTGTCCATGTGCTTTGTGCATGTGTCACTCAGTCTTTTGTAGATTTGAAAAGAAGACTTCATTCCTATTAGTGTAACCTTTTAGTGCCACAGGGTGCACTGGTTTCCTTTTAACATGCCCACGTTCCTTTGTTCCGTGCAAACATGAGAATCTTGATAGCTGGTTGTCCTTGGGCGATCTGGGCAGAGAACCACACTGAAATTGTGTTATTTGAGAAATCTGATTAAGCGTCAGAACACGCTTCACCTGATCACATGTCAGCTTAACTATGACATCAGCACTGACTAGTCATTTCTGTACCTGTCCCAACCATCTTGTGTTTTCTTGTTTTGCAGAGTGAAGCGCCTGAGGGAAAGAGAGCTGTTTTATTTTTTTAGTGAAGAAGAGTATAACAGCAGCATTTGTGCATACCAGAGGAAATGGAGGGGTGAGCAGCAGTCTCGTGGTACTCACCCCTCCTGTTCAGACTCCTGATGCTGAAGATGTTGACCCATAGTGCATGGCTGCTGTTCTTACTGTTGCTGGGTGTTGTGTCCACTCTGTGGGGTTACCCCTTCAGACCCCCGCTAGACCTGGATGTGACCCCCAGAACTACAGTCCTCTCCAACGGTATGATACACATGTTTTGGTTTTCATTCATTCATATAATCCTGAAGAGAAAGATCCACCAATCAGACTAGTCACTGTTACTATGGAAACAAATTAAGGCAAAAAGAGCTCTGTGACCATCCACACCCACAAAGCATTGCTAATATCTCAATCGAGTTTCCCTACCTTCTCAAACTACTTATATATTTATTTACTTATATATATATATATATATATATATATATATATACATGAAAGAAATTAAGATTTTAGGTTGCTTTAAATTGATTGAATTTACTTAAAAAAACTTTTGAACTTTCTATTCATCTTTGCATCATAGGAATAAATTACATTTGAAAACATATTCAAATTGAAAACAGTTCTTTTAAATTGTAATAATATTTTACAATATTGTTGTATTTTTGATCAAATAAATGCAGCCTTGGTGATCATGAGACATAAAAAAAATCTTGCCAAACTTTTGACCAGAACATGATATGTACTGTCATTTTTCGATTATGCAAACTTTTTCTTTTGATTTTCATGTATTTTTTGTTTTAAATCAAAGTTTGATATGATAGAGCTAGAGTTGGTTTGGATCAAGTGTTAGAATGCCTTAGTGAAGAATTGTTTGAAATCCCTATGGAGCAAATCATTGGGAAAAATGCTTCCAGAACCAAGACCGCTGAAAAAGTGGGCTAAAAAGCACTCTTTATCTTGGTATGTAAATATGATAATCATTCAGTGCCATGGCATATCAAAGTATAACAGTTTATTTGTGCATTAGCATCACAGTAACATGGTACTACCACAGTACATTTCTGTAAGCATCGCAAGGGTTAATTCTGAAGTAAATAAAAAGGGCTGCTCAGGCAGATGCAGAGAAGCTCGCTGTATGCTTATATGAGGGGGAGTGGGTTCACGAACTGTTTCTGACTCTGTACTTAATCATTCAGATGTAAGCAGGGCTCTATCACACGTTTAGATGACTCGCTGCTTGCCAGCTTGAATTTTGTATATCTCTTCGCTGTTGAACAATAAAACGCCTTTCTCTCACATCTGTGAAGCAGAAATGCAGGAGAGAAGGCACAATAAGCCAACCCAAGGTTTCCTTTATCTCCAGTGTTTAGTTACACAACTGCAGAGAGGTCAGAGGCCTGAGAGACTTGAGGCCTGTGTTGAGTTTAAAAACAGTGAGAGAGCAGCAGGTTCACTCTCCAAGACCAGTCCTACCATTGCCTGCTATAGGTCAATGACCTAGAGAAGGAGTGCTGAAGCCGATTTTCAGTGCAGAAGACAGTCCAAACAGTTTTAAAGGATGTAACTTTAAAATATAGCGTGTTGCATATTTGCATTAAATAGCTAATATGTTAAATATGTGAAAAATAATATGTTATTTACTATTTGTTAGTTTATTAGTTCTCACCTTCAGATGATACTCTTTTCCAGTACAGTAATGCTGTGCTTGGTCTGCAAGGGGTTTTTCTTTATAATCCAAAGTTGAGTTATTTGCTGTGAACAAGTTAATTGCGTAAAAAACAACAAATACTACATTACTCATTCACAACTTCCAAACGAATTAATTACGCATTCATAACCAATTGCTCATTCAATAACAGGTTTATTTTAGTTTTTATCGATATTTTGCATTAATTTTTATTTTTAGATTCCCCATCTTCATTCTCATTTTCATTTGAAAGTTTTAGTAATTTGTTTTCATCATTTTTATTATTTTTTAGTTGTTTTAATATATGTTTATTTAGTTATATTAATTTAGTATATTAAGTTAAACTAAATGAAATGAGAAATGCTGCCTTTGCAAACAGCTTGAAATAATAGTAACTTTAGTATGTACACATTTTATATAACAATTATTATATTTTTATTGAAATACATTTTTATGGTACATATAAACATCTGACCCATTACTTGTGTAGTGCACAAGCCAAGAAACACAGAAAGTAAAATGTATCACATAGAGCTGCTCAGAGAACGCCAAGTGGCTAAGCCCGAGGCCTTGCTGGACCATAATCCATCCCTGCATACATCAGTCTGACAGATCTTTTCATTAAGTTACTTAGCAGCGTCTACTGCACTTACAAAAACCAATGAGCTCATCGCTCCTCTCATCATTTCATTTAGCATCCCTGTGCAGGCATGAGCTTACACTGTGTGCGGAAAATGAGATGTCAATTACTACTGAGTTAATATCAAATCCCTGTTCAGCAACAAGCAAGAGATGAGAGTTTGTAAACTAAAAAGGCATACATTAAACTGGGGTGTTTTTGGCACACTTGGCGCCCGAAGTGAAAAGACATGACTGAAGAGGAACATTTTTTATTATATATATACAGTATATGATTGGCTGAGAGCCTTTTCCAGTGGTGTGATATTCTAGTGATAACAGAGCTCCAACTGTTTCACTGTTTGTATCACTCCAGCAGGCTATGGTTTAAAAAATATTTTATCGATAAAAAACATTTATTATATAAAAAAAATGGTTTCTGACCCTCACCAACATCATATTTCTTGGTCAGGAAGAAATAAGATGTTTGTATCACTACCTCCAAAACTGCATAAAGGGGGTCAAAATGGGGTATTTTCTCGTATTTTTGTTGTTTTAATCAATAATCCTTATGTTAAATTTTAACTTACCTTATAAACTAGGAGTACATTGTCATATATTGCATAAGATTTTTATTCAGAAGTTTTAGTCAGAAGTTTTTTATTCAAGAAATTACATTTATGGACTTTTTAAAGTTTCTTATGGGAAAATATTCGAATATTTATCAAATATCAAATTGAAAAATTTTATATTTATAAGATAACTTTTTTATTATTGTTATTTTCATTGTTATTGTTTGTATATTTATTTTTTATTGTGAAGATAATATTGTTAAATTGATGTACAATTCACTGAAATATTATTGAGATTATTTTACATTTTATTACTTATGAGTTTGCGATGATTATAGCCTTTGATGCCAATATGGCATTAAATTATTACTTTTATATAATAAATTATTTTGTTACGCATTTACATATTTCGTACCACTTTATTTATTCCTTTTGTAAGCACAAAACCCTTGCAAAATATACCCTTCAGTGTGATACAAGATCATTATTTACTCTTGGTAATCATTAAGTTATTAATATGGTTGTATGGTTTTGCAAATTCATACTGGAATATCATTGTCTTGTGCATAATCGCCTACGAACACCAATTTAATGTGGACTGTATGTCTCAGGAACCCCAAAGCTTTAACTACAGAGTGGGTCAGTATCCTAAAAACCCATGATCACCTCTTTCTGTGGCTGCTTAATCATTAATGAGTCCAGAGAGCGCTGTACTTTATAGCCTAATAACCCTCAGAGACATGAGACAGAGCCGAGATAGTGACAGGCTACTTGAGGGAGGACAGTGTAAATTATATTTGCACTGTATGTATTCTACTCCTCAAAACACCCTGAGCACACTCATTATGCTTCTGTCAAATATCAAAGCTCACACTGCTGTGAAACTGCGTGAAGCGGCTGGTTTAAACATGACTCTGAACGCTGAGTTCCTCGCTGGTTCTCGGGAGACCTTCACTTGTTTATTTAGCAAATACACAGTCTCTCTCTCTCACACACACACATGCACAAGGCCTCTGGGATGACAATCCGAATCATGTTGTGAATGTCATATTGATTAGTTAATTAGCAGTGCAGTTGAGCAGACAGAGGGTGTGTGTGTGTGTGTGTAGACATGACAGGAGTGTCTTGAGTAAATGTACTACTGTAATGTCAGTTTGTAAAGGTCTAATGGTAGTCATTCTGCTCTCAGTGCTCAATTACATATTCACTACATGGCTAACAGTATGTTGACATCCCCATCTAATTGACAGGTTCGGCTAGGCCCTCAATTCCAGTGCAGACAGATTCAAATGTTACTGCATGAAATTATATTCTAGAGAATTTTATGCTTCATGGACTTGAATGGGATCTAATCTCTTCATCCATGTTACAAAATCTATTGGAAAAGAAGGATTATGAGGGTGAACTCCCTATTAATAATATTTGCATATTGCACAGGGCTGTATTTGTTTAAATATTGTGGACTTTTATTACAATTTCACATGACAGTTTTCTATTATAATATATCTGTTTCTATTTTAATATATGTAAAAATGTATTCCTTTGGCAAAGCTGAATTTTCAACATCATGGACTTCAGTCTTCAGCAGTGTTGGGGGTAACTCATTACAAGTAACGCAATACGTAATCAGATTACTTTTTAAAAGTAACTAGTAAAGTATCGCATTACTTTTTAATTTACAAGAGTATATCTGAGTTACTTTTTCAAATAAGTAACGCAAGTTACTTTTTTTTTTCCAATTTAGGGAAAAAAAACACAGATTCAGTATTCCTCAAAATGAATAAAAATAATGCAACTCAGAATATGTAATAATTAAATGTTAAACAACACAAATATCCTTTATGTATTTAATCCCATTTTATTAACCAATGTCTTTGCTTCTGACCTTCGAAGATCCAGTTCAACCGTACTAATAAGCACAAATTACTCTAGACAAACATTTGTGT